ATCCTTATGCATCCCATACTTCTCAGGAGATCTTGGGCAAGGGAGTGGAAATGTCTGAACTTCACCATATGGAAGTGAAGCAGGAAAATGTATCTCACAGGTAGCTGTGAGGATTGAAAATGTCAATGCCAAGGTACGAGTGGCATCTGGTGCTTAGTGAATGTTAGTCTTCCCACCCCTTCAATTTCCAGCCCCAGCTTATAGGGCACCCGCCTGCGACAGCACTACTCAGTCAGGTCAAAGGACTTAGCAATAGTTTGATAAATTTTACTCATGTATTTTCCCTTGAAACTGCCCAAATCACTTCCAGTTAGTTTATAGTTTAAAAAATGAGGTAAAAATAGAAACCCGTGGGGATAAATCAGGAATTTGAAATCACACAGTTATATCATGGCCACGTTGTGATTGGAAACTTCTTGCAGTCTGAGGACTTGGTTTTTTGGTTTCAGGGCTTTCTGTGTGGTATCAGAACATCTGTAACATTAGCCTCCCTAAGCAGCTGGCCTAAGACTGGCCAAGCTGCAGGAGGTAGGGCTCTGGGGAGGTGTGTTTATTGTACATGTGCTTATTACCTACTCAGCAGATGTGACCGAGGCCAGGAGCTGACGGGTAGGATTCTGAAGCATGGTAAAGCCTGTACTTGTAAGAAGTACATAAAAATCTCCTTGTGAGCGTTTAGAACTTTACCCTTTATATTCTAGAAGGCGCCTAGCATTGTTTCCTCTAGGCTGTCTCCAACTCCAGTGTTTCTAGGAAACACACAGGACTGAGGGACTTGTTAAAAGGCAGGCTCCTGAGCCCCACCCTCAGAGTCTGATTCTGGCTCCAGGAAGCTGCATCTTACACAGGTACACCAGGTGACCCTGTTGCAGGCTCATGTACATTGAGAGACACACTGAGATATTTGCTTGACCTGCCATCTTGGGATATAAATGGAATAAATGAGTGTTTAAACGTTGCTGAAAGGGTTTAAGTAATTTTCCCAAGGTGGGCAGCTTGCCAATGAGTGGTAGGAGCTGGGCTGCTTGCCCTCACGTGCCCTGCTGGAAAGCCATTTCTTCCATTAAGGCTGTGTCAGAGCAAGTATTGTAAAAACAATCTCTTTTAACACCCAAAGGGTACTTCTCTTTTGTTACCTACAACTTTTACCCTATAGAATGCTAACACTGAGCATCTGCCTGGCCTATGAATTAGACATGTCTTCTTCCTCTGATGTTTTAGCATCTGGGGTCTTAAAGATCCCAGGAAAACTGTCCCTTATCCCCATCCCAATTCCTAGAGACAGTAAGCAACCAGCCTGTGAGAATGCCTTTCATGTGCAAACAAACCCATGCCCATTCTCCAACCATATCTCCTTTATCAGGCTCTCACAGGGTCTTGCATTTGGGTCACTATTCTGTGTCCTACTGCTTCTAGACCAGGTTTCAGTGCACATGGACAGCCCCTAAGTCCCAGAGCAATCTAAACTCTTCAAACTAGCCAATCCTCAACCTGCCTAGCCTGCTTACCCTACCTCACCATTCCTTCCCAAGAAAACCAAAACAATGTCTCTTGCCCATGCTTCTCCAACTGCTTCCCATGTGGCCTAGTGTTGCCTGGTGTTTCCTGGGGGGAATAAACTATCTTCCCAACTGGTCTTCCAATACCCGAATAATAAAACCTACAATTAAAACAGTCTCCCAAATTAAACCAGAAGCAATCTGAATACAAACTCTCTTTTGAACAATTGTTAGATTAACTCAGTGTTTTCTTCACTTCAAGGTTTAAAAAATATTTGTTGAATTAATTTTAAGCTAGTCAATAAGCTTAAATAAAGCTTCATTCCTTGATCTGGGTTCACTTTGGGGTTTACTTTGTGTTGATTTTCAAACTTCTCCCAAACATATATTCCTTTTTTCAAGTGAAAGTGTAGAAGTGCATGGCAGAGCAGTATGGAGTGGTCAAGTTATCACTGGTTCCTTTCAATCATGCAAGCTGACTCTAAGCTGAAAATGAGAGTCCTTGCTTTCTAGTTTGCCATGACAATGACAGTATTTACTCATAAATAAATACTTATAAGGATAGAAATATTTTTTAAGGGTAGAAACACTTGCATTACCGTGACCCCAGGGATTTCAAGGGTCTTGAGTAGACTAGCTGGAGCATCCTATGTGATGGACTGTGAAATACATAAGCACGTACAACCAAGAGATGGAGCAAGGTTGCTTGGGAGAGAAAAGAGCACTGGGCCATGAGGCCATAACGCCTTGGATTCCATTCCCTCTTGTGAAACCACCTCTCTACACTACAGGACAAATCACACACCCAGCTGCCAGTCTCAGCTGTCACATCAGGAAAATGGAGGAGGGGGGCAGAACAATATATTTATAAAACTCCTTCTGTTCACTAAATTGCTGGTGTTCTAAATTATGACTTTGAAATGGAGCTATTTGAGAAGGAAGGAAGGGAAGAATGAAATAAAGAAGGAAGGAAGCAAGCAAGCAAGGAAGGAAGTTAGTTTTGAATTAACAGTGGTGAAAAATTGAAAATGGGTGAAACATCCAGAAATATAGGAATGGTTAAATAAAACAGGCTACATCCACATGATAGTATAGTATGCAATTATTTAAATGATGCGAATGAAGAGTTTATAATGCCTTGGGGAAAAGCACAAATACTACGGAGGCCCCGTGTGAGCCCTGGTTTGCCAGCACTCTGCTAAGCTCCCCTTGAACTAGCCTTTTCCCACAGCTCTCAGGATGGCTGACATCATCCCCATGAAATGTCCCGCTCTAGATTCTACAGAACTGCACTAATTAATCAGAAAAAGAATGGTTTACACAATGAGTCCATCTGAGACACATTCAGATTGAAATGACATCTTGGTCCCTCCACATGGAATGTCTATTTTCCCCCAAACATGTTGGTGGCTGTGAGGACTCAGTTCCCACCACTAGGGTGTGCCTTCCCAACTTCCCAGTTGTACACAGGTGAGTGACAGGAACAATAGGACCCCTGGTTCTTGCACCACTAAATCAAGAAGAAGGGCTTCATGCATGCTTTACCACTGACATATACCCCAAGCCTTTTAATTTTTTTATTTTGAAACAGGACTCGCTAAACTGCCCAGGCTAACCTTGAACTTGTGCTCGTTCAGCTTCAATCTCCAGAGTAGCTGGGATTACAGTCATGCGCCCCCCACTCCCTAAAAGTATACATTTTAAATCTCAATGCTCATTTCAGAAACAGCAAAACAACCCCTATTACTTTCCCTGTGTTCCATTTCTTTATTTCCTTCATTCACAAGACTTTATCAAAGCTGCTTAAATACATAAGATATGTCCAATTTGGGGCATAGGTTGTGGCTCAGAGAAAAAACACTCGCCTAGTATGCATGAGAGACTGGATTCCATCCTTAGCACCACATAAAAACAAAATAAAGGTATTGTGTCCACCTACAACTAAAAAAATGTTAAAAAAATCTCCAATTCAAAAATTGGAAAATGATGCAGTGGGTGCTACCAGCTAAGGCAGTATGATAGCATTCACTTAGGAAAATCCATTTGGGATCATTTCTTTATTTCTGACTCAGCCATTAACTGAGGCTAATCTGGGATGAAAAGGGAGAAGCTATCTTACTATAAATCCCGCTTTTCTATTCCTCTAAGTAAAATGTCTGACTCAAAAGAATTTTTTAGAAAGAAGAATGCAGAGTTGGAAATGCATGATTTCAACCTCAAGAAAAATAAAAAACGGTAAACTAACACCAAAATTTAAGCATCAACTTATGAATGGTGGTTAATGTGAGGTGATTAAATTTTTTCTTTTTTAAATAAAGTTTTCTTCTCTGTACTGTATTTACTAAATTTCCTTCCACAGGAAGTAAGAAGAGAGGTAGAGAAGAGGTGAGGGACAGAGATAGAAACAGAAATTACTGGTGAGAGTCTCTAAAGTGCCCCTCTGGAGCACAGCTGTGCAGGGCCCCCTGAGTTGTCTAGAGGTTTCTTCTGGGTGCCCGAATGCTAGCTTGACTGTGCTCAGGCCCTACACTGGCTCTCACAGCTGACCACTTCCCACTCCATTGAACACACATGAGCCTGTCACTTTCGGTTCCACTTGATTTCCACTTACCCTTCTGGCAGGCTGCCACAGAGTCCTCTTGGCAACCTTCACACTGGTTTCCATGGATACCCTCCACTCTCAGACAGGCGGCTGCTCAGAGCAGATGGCCGTCGGCACTGGGTGGGGAACAGGCTGAAAGGGCATCTGAATCTCGGGCACTCTGAATCCTCTGTTTGTCCCTGTCCCTAATACACCACACACACACACACACACACACACACACACACACACACAAGCACAAACACACCATAGTCATGTTTAGTTCTGGCCTTGACAAGGAACTCATCACATTTCAAATATCACAAATACTATGTATGACAATTGCTAACAGTTGTGGAGCATCTACTCTGAACCGCATACCTTGCATACAAGGGAAGAAAATAATTTACCAGGATAGTTGAAGGAGTTCAGTGTTTCTGACCCCATTCAGTGGGGCCAATTCTTTTTTGAATTAGTATACACTACTGATGTGTGCAAAAACAATTTTAGAATAATATTTAAATTTCAGGTTCCTGGAAAAAGAAATTGAAGCTCAGAGATTTGAAATAACTTCACCAAGGTGAAACAAATAGTAAATTTCTGAACTGGGATTTGAGCTGATGTTTTCTGATCCCAAGACATTTGGTTGATCCACTGCACTGTGGTTAACAATCAGTAGCCATGGCTACAGCAGTCCCCACTATTCACTGAGGACATGTTCCCAGACCGCAGAAGATGGCTGAAACTGCAGACTGTGTGGGGCCCCACATACACTATGTTTATTTTTAGGTATACACACCTATGTTAAAGTTTAATTTAAAAAGTAAGGGAAGGGTCCCAGCCAGCTTTCGGGAAGTTACACCAACAGAGGCGTTGTCAGACGGCTGGGGCACTTGCGCTCTGCTGGCCCCAACGACCCCATGGCTGTGTTTCACGACGAGGTGAAGATGGAGGACTTCCAATATGACGAGGACTCCGAAACGTATTTCTACCCCTGTCCGTGTGGGGATAACTTTTCTATCACCAAGGATGATTTGGAGAATGGGGAAGACGTGGCAACGTGTCCTAGCTGCTCTCTCATTATAAAAGTGATTTATGACAAAGATCAATTTATGTGTGGAGAAACAGTCCTGGCCCCTTCATCCAACAAAGAATTAGTTAAATGCTGAAGAAACCTTCAGGAATCCATATCCTGAACAGTTGAGAATGAGCCCAGGTGGAAATATCAAACGCAGAGTAACTGATTTTTTTCACGGGGACAACTGTTTTGTGGTTTGCCATTCTGTTAGCGTGTGGATCTTTTCACCAACTGCTGAGTTCATCTTCAAATAGAAAAGTGAGCACCTGATGGGTCATACCTGGATTTCATGTTTAGAATGTTGAATTGGAAGCATTCTTAATTATCCATCTGAATTTAAATGAAGATAATTTTACATCAGTGCTTTCTTTCCCTTATACCTTAAATCTAATTCAGTATCTGATAACAGCATCATCTACCTCAGTCATTAGGATTTCTTAGTTTAAAAGGTATATTTTTAATTAGTTACCAATATGGTTAAAATTAGCCCTTTCTTTGAAATTTGACATCAGCTTTATTACTCTAACTTAAAATTTGTTGCTTCATCAGTACTGCACTTCCAGTTCCCTCACCAAGCCAGTCTCCCCAGTCTTGCTATTATTAGAATGTTCAGGTTCTGTTCAGYATGTTTTTTCTGTTACACTTCATGYACAGAGTTCTATTGTGGTAGTGAATAAGGAAGAAAAATCTACAGTGAAATGATTGAAGAAGTAGAGAGTCCTTATGTTCCTTAAAAATCATGACAAGATTAAAAAAAAAATCAGAAGGAAGCAAAGTTGTTAACAATGAGAGGAGTTAAACATGCCAAATTAGTAAATGAATGCTTTAATTATTTTACCAGATCAAAGCACATATTTTTGTGTCTTGATTTTTGTTTATTTTCTGATAAAACTAATGAAACTGCATTTCATAGAGAGGTTAATGCCAAGTCTCTGTGGCTAGTTYCAGTGCTTTTAGCCTATCACAGTATTGTGTCACTACTCCTAAAAAGTARAGCATCTACAATAGAGAATGAACTTAAAAATGGGAGGCCTGTTCTGAATAAATATGTCCATGTGGACACATCTAATAAGCCTCTACAGCATGCAACCAAACCAAACATGTGCTCCTACAGAGAAATGTTGCTAGGGAGTAAGAGAAATATATGAAGATAAACTATTAGTCTTCCTTTGCTAGAGTGCTGAGAGTAGCAAGAAATTAGAATCACAAGAAAATTGGAAAAAAATTCCATTATAAACACAACTTTGCTGTCTGTATGAAAATGCACTGATACCTGGCAAGTTGTTTTAGGTGTGGCTCCTGCAATTAGAAAAGCTTCTTAGAATATGAGTGTTCTATACTGGTTGATAAATAAACTACACACAATCTTTGGAAGTTTAAATTAAAACAAGTGGACTTAAAAAAAATCTGGCAGTAGCATGGCTGTATGCAACCATTAGGCTGAGACATAATAAATCAAAAATTATATGCTAGATATACTTCATACATTATATGGCATATTTGTGACATGATGAGAAGTCTCACTGCTGCTTAGAACACTGTCAGCCCAGAAGTAATCCACACAACTTTGAAAAGCAAAGTGACTGCTCAGATGAACAGAGCAGAATATAAGTTAACTCTAGTGGGCAGTGACCTGCAAAGAGAAATGAACTTCTCAACCTCATTTTAGATGGTACTAACTATATATAAACTTTCTCTGCTGCCAATGAATTTCAAGCAAGAACAGACATCCTTGGTGTGGGTCTACTGTGAGCATAGAACAGGAAGAAAATTTGCCCAAGTTCAAACATCCCAGGAGAAAAGAAATACAAACAGCATTGGCAGTCAGTGATTGTTGATAATGCTGCAATAATAGGAATGATTTTGTTTTAAAGCAACTGTGTTGTTTGAGAACTACAACAGAACATACCAGGAATTAATTGTATAGTAAGCAGAAAGTAAAACCAAGGTTTTTCAGGTATGATTGGATTTCTGAGTGATGCTTGTGCCTTATTTAGCCCCACAGACATTTGTGGAGCACCTCTGTGAACTGATTTAATCCAATCTCTGTCTGATTAGCTCTGGGGTCTTGAGGCCAGGCCAGTGGATCCCTCACCTGTACAGGTAGAGGAGATGGGATCAGAACGTTTTCAGCTATCAGTTCTCATTTCAGGTGTGGGGGATTTCCAGAATGGAAAGGGCAATTGAAACCTTGATAAACTCAAAACTTTTGAAACATGAATTATAGGGAAACTCCCAATTTTCATCAGCGATGTTACCAACTTCTGAGTTTGAAAATTAAGTCGGCTGTTTGAAGGATCTACATATACTTTATACATTAAAAAGCATTTTTCTTGGATAGCACAAACATTTTTATAACTACATATTAATTTATTACCAGGATAAATTGTATTGGCATGCTAAATAAAATCTGATGATTTAAAAAAAAGTAAGGGAATAATAACAATACCTAATAAGCATAGCAATGATAATATATCATAATAAAATTGATAGCATCACTATCCTTGTTCTTTGGGGTCATTAATGAGTAAAATAAGGGTTACTTGTGACACTCCCCACAGTCAATCTGATAACAGACACCTACAAGGAATTAATAGGTAAGGTGGTGTACAGTTGGAACATGCTGGACCCTGGGCAAAGGGATGGTTCACATCCTGAGCAAGATGGAGGGGGATAGCGTAAAAGTCATCAAGCTACTCAGAAAAGCATGTGATTTAAAGCTTATGAATTATTTATTTCTGGAATTTTCCACTTAATATTTTTAGACCAAGGTTAACTGCAGGTAACTGAAACCATGGCAAGGAAACCATGGATGGGGGGGGGGCTCTACACTAATTTCCCTTGATTGCTCATCTTTCTACAGAACTTTTCCCTCTTCCATCACCAACCCCATTCCTAAAGACATTCATGCGTCTGCTGATTTGTCCTCTCCCCTCTCCCCAGCTCCAGGACCAACACCAGCACCATCTTCATTATCATTACTATCACCATCACCATCATACTTCCCCTTATGATTGAAGTAGAAGCTATCACAAAAATCAGGATGTCCCAAGCCCTGGACCTCTAGTCATTTCCCCAAAGTCTAGGTATGTCTTCTTCATAAGAAGAGCTTAACAAGTATGAACTGACTGACTGAATAAATAAACTAACACTCTGCCAAAATCCCTTCATGGACGCAGATTGGGACAGTGGTTATAAAGGTTATAAAGTATCACCTTCTCACAAATGCAGTCTAGATTAGGAGGATTCTGATGTGCTAAAAGGCACCCCAAAGAATGGGGGTGTTAGATGAGATTATTAGCAGCTAGAATGAACAAACCTCTCACCAGTTCAATCTCCTTTGGAGCTACATGAGGCGGGTGCTTCTTTGAGGAGTCCTAAGTCCCCCAGAATAGAGATCTTCTGTGATACTCTTGGCTGCTAGATTCAAGGCAGATTGATTACTTTCCCTTGATTGTTTTAATACCATTTATTCCTTGTCTATTTGTTTTAAAAGCCTTGTTCTAACTCCCAAGAGAACCCCATACAAAATGGTCACAGCAGCCAGAGACTCATATTATTTCATAATGGTGAATCCTGTATCTTGTATTCTTGGTTGCCATGAGAGATGGCTTGCTTACCCATTATACATAAAGACAAAGAGGCTCTTACACTTACATAGCTTCCGGCTGCTTCTCAGCTGTAAGGAAATAAGAGAGTGACTATGTCCATTTAGGAAGGTTAAATGATGTGCTGAGTAAGGCCCAGTCAAACCAACTATTCTCAGGCATTTGTTCAGGTATTATTTGCTACTTAAATACAAAATCTGAAACCTGGCAGAACAGTGTTCTCTTCTCAATAGCAGAGGTCAGAAATTGGTAAAATATGGCCTGCAAGCCACATTCAGCTCTCCACCTGGTTTTCTTTAGCCATGAGCAAGGAAAGGGTGTTTATTTGTTTGATTCTTTGTTTGTTTTGGCAGTACTGGGGATTAATCCAGGGCCACCCACATACTAGGCAAGGGTTCTACCACTGAGCCCCAGCCCCACCCCCAAGAAATGTTTTTTGTGGATTGATATTTGCAATAAATTTAATGAAAGTCAACACTAATTTTGAACCCCAACTCAGCCAATGTTACTTTCCTAAAAAATCCATTCTTCTCATTAACAGACCTATATTACATAAAATTATTCCATTATTATTATTATTTTTAATTTTGTCACTAAAAATTTTTGAGAAATTTGTTTTCTCTCTAATTTTATAAGTATATACATAATATTCTCAATTTTGCATGTTGGCCTACAAAGACTCTAATATTTACATTCTGTCCCTTCACAGAAAGTTAGCCCATCCCTGGTCTAGACAGAAGCTACCTTCCCAGACTCATCCCTGCCAGGTCAGTCCTTTCCCTTGGAACGCTTGTCATATCTGAAGGTCTGTGGCTCCCCATAGGCAAGCCTAATTCTCCCTGCCCAGCAGCCCTCCTGACTAGAAAGTGCCACCTCACTGCCTGCCTGATTATTTTGTTTTATCTACTGAATCCAGAAGGCTTCCTTGATGCTTCAAGTCAAAATGGGTAGGATGACTGCTCAAAAAACACAAAAAGTCCTGTAAGGCTTAACCAAGTTTGCTGTAGGTCAAAGTTCACATTGTGGCCCTCTTCCATGTTAGACAGAAGTGTCTCTGGAGAGGAAGCTACATGGATACAGTAGGAGATTGACAAATGTCTGCTTCAAAGTGGAATAACCAATTGGAAATGAATAATGAAAAGCTAACCTGACTCCTTTTGAAAGAGTGATCTACGCACCCAACTTATTGTCTGGCTTTTATTTTTGCCAGTGCCTTAGGCATTTGCCTGCCTTCAGAAGGTAGGAAGCGGCCTCTGCAAAGCAAGGTTATGGTGAGTTAAAAGGATGGAAAATTGTGGGTGACTATGTACTACAGGAGTATAGTTAAGAAATGATACTCCATCCATCCTTGATAATACTCTCTTCTCATGTCACCAGGCTGTGGGGTGTGGCACTGGTGGGCAACGATACTCCCATTGACAGGCCTACTGACATTTCTCTCCCACTTTTATTATACCTTTACTCCTCATTTTCCCTCTCCCTGTGCCCTCTGAATAGATCTGAATTGCA